TTCATGCAGTTCAACAGGAAGAAATTCTCGGTAATTGGAAGCTAGAGGTCTGAAATTTCGGTTAATTCGAATTCATTTTCAATCGAATTCTCGTAGGAAATCTCAATGTTTGTTAAATTTCCTATTTTCGAAGTGCTAAACAACAATGCGTGTCCGACCGTCACCCAAGGGCATCGCAGTTGACCACAGCGCCGCAGCTCAAAGCGTCAGCTGATGGCATCGCAGTTGCATGCAGCGCCCCAGATCACGAAATGGCTGCTCCGGCGGTTCCGGTTCTCATTGTTGATCTCGTTACGGTCGTGTGCGGACTCAGCGTTTCCACGTGCGACGAAGCTCCACGTGCATTTACAATGGCAACTCGCGGGCCTTATCCGCTTGGCTTGGCGACGAAAGTCAAAATTTTGAAAGAAGTTAAACAAGAAGGCACCGCCAGGCAAGATATTGCGCAGAAATACGGCATCAAGCCTAATACCCTGTCTAACATCCTGAAGAACAAGCGCTCGGTACTGGACGCATTTGAAAATGACCAGTTCAAGATGTCTCGCAAGAGAATGCACACCGGCGCCCACCCGGAGTTAAAGCAAGCCTGGCGATATCGTTGCAGCGAAAGTGTCATCGCTTACGATTATGCTAGTCATCGAGAACTTTGCTTCGTCCGATGGGTGGCTCACATGGTTCGAACAGCACCACGATATGGTGTTTAAAAGCGTTAACGGGGAAAAGGCTCCCGTCAACGCTGAAACATGTGATCATCATCATCATCGGCCTGACTACGTCCACTGCAGGACAAAGGCCTCTCCCATGTTCCGTCAGTTAACCCGGTCCTGTGCTTGCTGCTGCCAATTTATACCCGCAAACTTCTTAATCTCATCTGCCCACCTAACCTTCTGTCTCCCCCTAACCCGCTTCCTTTCTCTGGGAATCCAGTTAGCTACCCTTAACGACCAGCGGTTATCCTGTCTACGCGCTACATGCCCGGCCCATGTCCATTTCTTCTTCTTGATTTCAGCTATGATATCCTTAACCCCCGTTTGTTCCCTAATCCACTCTGCTCTCTTCTTGTCTCTTAAGGTTACACCTACCATTTCCATTGCTCGCTGCGTCATCCTCAATTTAAGCTGAACCCTCTTTGTAAGTCTCCAGGTTTCTACTCCGTAGCTAAGTACCGGCAAGATACAGCTGTTATATACCTTTCTCTTGAGGAATAGTGGCAATCTACTTGTCATAATTTGAGATTGCTTGCCAAATATGCTCCACCCCATTCTTATTCTTCTAGTTACTTCAATATCATGGTTCGGCTCCGCGGTTATTACCTGCCCTAAGTAGACATAGCTTTCTGTTCTCCTTCTCTAACTCCGTAACCGTGAGTTGCAATTCGTCCCCTGAGTTACTCAGCAATGCAATGTCATTGGCGAAGCGTAGGTTACTAAGGTATTCTCCATTAACTCTTATCTCTAACTGTTCCCATTCCATGATTCTGAAAACCTCCTGTAAGCACGCGGTAAATAGCATTGGGGAGATTGTGTCCCCCTGCCTTACACCCTTCTTGATTGGTATTCTGTTGCTTTCTTTATGAAGCATTATGGTAGCAGTTGATCCCCTGTAGATTTCTTCCAGGATGTTTATATATACTTCATCGATGCCCTGATTCCGCAGTGTCTGCATGACGGCTGATATTTCTACTGAATCAAACGCCTTCTCGTAATCTATGAAGGCTATGTATAGTGGTTGGTTATACTCTGAGCATTTGTCTATTAACTGATTGATAGTACGAATGTGGTCAATTGTTGAGTAGCCTGTTCGAAATCCTGCCTGTTCCTTTCGTTGATTGAATTCTAATGTTTTCTTTACTCTGTTAGCAATTACCTTTGTAAATAGCTTGTATACTACGGAGAGCAAGCTGATTGGCCTGTAATTCTTCAAGTCCTTGTCATCTCCTTTCTTATGTATTAAGATGATGTTAGCGTTCTTCCAAGACTCTGGTACTCTTCCCGTCAGGAGACACCTCGTAAACAGGGTGGCTAGTTTTTCTAACACAATCTGTCCTCCATCTTTCAGCTGATCCGATGTTACCTGATCCTCACCAGCAGCTTTGCCTCTTTGCATGCTTTCCAAAGCTTTTCTGACTTCTTCTATCATTACTGGTGGGGTGTCATCTGGGTTACTGCTGGCTCTTATAGTATTAAGGTCGTGGTTGCCTCGGCTACTGTACAGATCTCTGTAAAACTCCTCCGCTATTTTAACTATCCTATCCATATTGGTAGATATTTTGCCTTCTTTGTCCCTTAGTGCATACATCCGACTTTTGCCTATCCCAAGTTTCCTCTTCACTGCTTTGACGCTTCCTCCGTTTTTCAGAGCGTGTTAAATTCTCTCCATGTTATACCTTCTTACATCGCATACCTTATGTCTATTAATCAATTTCGAAAGCTCTGCCAGTTCTATTTTGTCTGTTGTACTCGACACTTTCATCATTTGACGCTTCTTAATTAGGTTCTTCGTTTCCTTGGAAAGCTTGCCAGTGTCCTGTCTAACTACCCTGCCCCCAACTTCCACTGCACACTCCGTAATGATACTCGTCAGATTATCATTCATTGTATCTACGCTAAGGTTGGTTTCCTCACTAAGAGCCGAGTACCTGTTCTGCAGCGACATTCTGAATTCCTGTACTTTCCCTCTCACAGGGAAAGAAACATGTGATGCGTGGAGGGAAAATCGACTTGACAAATACTTTGGAGTATCTCTGCTGGAAGATATCTTCAATGCCAACGAGACAGCACTATTTTACAGAATGTTGACCGAGATGACGCTGGCCTTTAAGGACGATGACTGTGCTGGAGGGAAGCGTAGCAAAGAAAGAGTGTCGGTGCTATGCGAACATGACGGGCACTGAGCGATGTCACCTGCTCGTGATAGGCAAAGCTGCTAAGCCTAGATGTTTCAAGGGCGTGAAAACGCTGCCTGTCGACTACGCGTCTAACAGGAAAGCATGGATGACCGCAGACCTATTCAAGGATTGGCTGACAAAATTGGATCGCAAGTTCGCGTTACCTAAACGCAATGTATTGCTCCTTGTGGACCAATGCAGTGCACACATGATGTGCCGCCCTTGAGTGCAATACGTGTCGCCTACCTGCCAGCGAACACTACATCGGTGTTATACAACCACTGGACCAGGGGATCATCAAAAACGTGAAAGTACTGTACAGGAAGCATCTTCTTGGGCGGATGTGTGGTGTATGAACAATGCAAGTCAGTATGAGGTGAGCCGTCTCACTGCTATCCATATGCTGGCACAAACGTGGGGTCGCGTAGAGGATGAAACCATTGCGTACTGCTTTAGGGCGTGTGGCTTCATTCCAAGTGGTGCAGATGATGACGCGTCTTGTACAGTGGGGGAAGAAAACACTAGTGAGCTTGAGGTTGATGGTCTCCTGCCAGCTCTCGGCGACGTCCCTTTCGGGGAGTACATTGCCACTGACAGTTCGGTAGAAACGTGCGGTGTACTGTCGGACGCTGAGATTGTGGAGATGGTTCGGCCCAGCGAGCCTAGTCAGGAAACTGAGGTTGACGACGCCGCCGCAAGTGAGCCACTACCGCGGGCTGCTGATGTAGCCGCAGGCCTTGCTTTCGCGCAGCGGTTTTTCACTGCTGAGAGCAGCGCCGAGGAAGCACTCGGGCACATATACAGCCTGCAGGACTTGCTTTCTGCTGCAAGATTCAGCAAACAGAAGCAAACGGCAATCACAGATTTTTTCTTATAAACTGCTTTGAAATAAATGTATTTTTCGTTCATTTTTCGTTCACGCGCGACTACAGGAACTCGTTTTTCCTAGCTGTATTAGCACAAGACAAATCGTTCGGGCTCTTGTACTTATGAAGATAAAACATGACAAGTCTGGATAATTGGGGTACATCGAATATACTACAGCTAAATACGGCCGAAAGGCTGCTTTATGACCGCTGCTGAAGTGACCTAAGCGCTACTTGCGTGGACCTGTAAATAAGACTCTCCTGGTGAGCCGCCGTCGCCTGCGAGGCCCCATCCACAATAAGCCACCACAATTCTAATCAATGAATGTTTATTGTCTCTAAGCTCGATGTTCAGTTCCACTTGCGTACTCATACGTGACATTGCGCGTTGATTCCTTATTCAGAGAGATAATCGAATGTGCTCCGACTTCTGCAAGGCCTTGTTAATTCCTACGTCGCCCACGCCCTTGCGAACAACGGGGAACAACACGGAGCCTTCATAAGAAAGGCACAAATACACGGGCAAATTTCTAAATTTCTATGCTAAATCTGGCTGCTGTCTGAAAACACTGACCCCTAAATGTGGCAACTGACTTACGCAACGCTAAATGGAACCTTGCCATCTTATCGCTAAATGCGCCAATGCCACAGTCTCTCTCCCCCCCCCCCGTTTTACGAAACGACCCTGTTTGTGTGTGAACTGCGTGACGGGTCGTCAGAGTGACTATCACCGCGTGTCGAGAAACAGAAAATCAATCTATTCACAGTGAACGTGCTCGCCGCCCACGTAATGTACGTTACTGGCAACAAGCAAAGTGTTTTTAGCAACGTGTTCGCAATGGTGACCGTATCTCGTTGTGGTCTCCACCCAAAAATGTGGCAGTCTTATGTGAAAAGGAAACTAACACCTAGCTACTCTTGCAGCCTCGAAATTGATAAGCGAGTGCGCGAGTTCAGTTTGCAACATGTACGTGTATCTCAATCTGGACTAGCCGGAAAACAGCGCTGTATCGAACGACGGATTGCAGATGGCGTGCGCACATCACAACGGGTTAACTGCAATTTTTTATGAAGAAATATGACGTGCAATGGAACTTGTCTCTATTGATTTCCAAGCACTTGAGCTGCTGTGCATATACCACAAAATTATACCATGTATACTAAAGCTTAAGTTTCAGACTTGTGCTGTTGTGGTTTCAAGCTGTGCTGTAATTGAATTCAATTTTATTTGAATTTTAATCGTGCAGGGACCTGGAGCGTTCATACCGAGGAGGCGGAGGCATGCCAAGGACTGGCAACTATGGCAGGGGCAATTACAATGGTGAGTGGTTGTTCTGCATTTTTATGACCTGGTAGTGTTGGGACATCCTCCTGGTTACAGCCACCAGATATTTAAAAAGCCAATAACATTAACGAATTCCTCAATTTGATACTTTCGTTGGGTCATATTACATTTTACCTGCTTCTGCACCCCATTTCTGGTGCAAATCCACTGTACCTGCCTAGTTAAGGGGGGACGCGGGTCAGAACAGCCAAAAATGGCCAAAAAGTTTTTAAACTTATTTTCGGGGCATGGTAAATACAACCAAATAAGTCCTCAAAGCACCCTGGCAGCAGTATAATTCCCTAAATATAACAAAATTCGTTCGAACTTCGTGCGCATGCCATGAGCGTTGCAGTGGGGTCGAGCGCCACCATTTTGAGCTAGATTTAAAGCTGTGTTCTTTGTGCATAATCTCAAAATAGCATCGTTCAAGCAGAATGGCTCCTGTCGCTGGTTTTCTGGAGGTCGTTCCCGAGTAGCTAATTGGCCCTTACTCTGTGTGCATTTTGAGTGCGCCGTACCGAGCCTCCCATTGGCTGACATGGCTGGCGTGACTGATGCAGTGGTCTTTTTTTTTTGTGTGTGTGTGTGGCTGTCTGATTGTGTGCGTCTGCTTTTGCGCTCGAGCATGTTTCTCGACACACCGCTTTTCTGCCTTGCGCTAGTAGTTTTTGCACGCTATCGAGGTGCTCGGAGCCTGTCGTCTGAAACCGTCCTCGCACCGAGCTTTTGGAAGAGCTAAAAAGTGGGCTTTGAACAAGGAGACGACAGCTAGAGGTGCACCGTTGGCACGATAGTTTGGTGAAGTCTGTGTCCATTAGGCACCTTTCCATTTACGATCTGCTCCGTGTACAAGTATTACTACTGCATAGCGCCTGGGCAGTAGGATCACGTGAGCAGCGGAACGTAGAGCGCATCTGTCACTCCACTTACGAAGTTGATTGAGCGAAGGGTGAAAGAGCGACCTCTTGGTTTCGCCGTGATTTTGCAGCCGCTGAGCTAACCACCTTCTAGTAGAACGCACTCGTCAGAAACTAAAAATCTCTGCAGTTCCTCGCACCATAGGTGTGTGCAGGGTTCCCCTTCAGTGGAGGCGGAGGTTAATACCAGCGTCCCCCTTCCTAGAATGTCAATTCCGATGCCCCCCTCGTGCGCACGCCTATGCCCTGCACTATCTTGCGATGCTACGCCTGCGCGTGAAGTTGATAACCCCGTCCCCTTTTCCCCGCTCTTGGGTTTTACAAATTTCTCTTTCCAGGTTGGAAGGTATGCCAATATTTTGTATTTTGGACCCATTAAATTTCAGCTCCTGTTCGAATCGGGGCCCATGCTGCCTAGTGATTCAGGTGTCACACTGACTGTTCATCTGTGTATGTTTCCTTGCACTGTTTTTAGCCACAATTTTTTAGCCCACAGTCATGTTCATTACTGTACTTCTTCATATTCTTAAAGTGGCACTCATAGCTATAACTACTGAAGTATGTGTCCACTGATATATATAATATACATGTGTATATTATTCCTCATATCTTGTCTATGCAGGAAGATAAAGAACCTGTGGCACGAAATGGAAAAAAAAAAAATTGGGCTGGTGTTGTTGGTGTATTAGGTAAGCAGCACATTTTGAATGCCACTTTCTTTCTTTTTTGAATAATTTTGGTTATTACTGTCAGGTTTGTGAATATGTGTGCATTAGCTGTTGTTGTGCTTTCTACTTTCTGTTCTGTGTTTCGAAGGAGCCACCCTTTTTTTTTCCTGCCATCGCCTCGTCGAAGGTCCAGGTCCTTCTTCTGCGGCACCTCCTGTCTGGAAGACTAGTGATTTTGTTGTTCTGTTATGTGGGAAACAAGAAATCACTATCTTCGGACAGTGGGCTGCACCACCTTCAACTTCAGTTCTCGTCGCAAAGTTTAGAAAAACTACATGCAGTTGACTTGTGTGTGTCCTTTATGCAGTTCTATGTGGGCTACCCCTGCATGTAAATATTGCTGTTAGTTATAAATTAATTTCGCTTGGTAGACTTTGTGCCTGCTCATTAAATAGGCAGTAAGATTGCAGACACCTGAACACTTCAACAGTGTTTTGCCCGCCTACTCTTGGTGCAAAAAACCTGATTTTTAGTGCCTATAAATCTGGCCTCTAGTTGTAACCTATGTTTAGTTATATCTGGGTCTGTTTTATCGAAGTTTGAGTGTATATTGAGAAGGACAACAGGTGAAGAAAGCCAGTAGTATGTTTGTTAAAGGTTCCTAATTAACTGGCTATAGATATTGCTTACTTAAGTTATGTCACATGAATGTTTGTTTTCACTAATTGAAGCAGCAGTATAAAAAATGTACCTTACTGGGGCAGACTGGTCTTTGGGACCAAAAAGTGACAAAAAAATCTTTTTTTTTTAAATGGACATATTTGGTTTCTGCAAGTAATTTTCTATATCTCTGCAAATTTTCAAACACCAGGAAGAGGTAATTTTTTTTTTTGGAATGTCATTCTAACTGTTCAGATTCTTAATGCTGTTAACATGCAGAACCTGCAAAAAAATGGGGAACCTACTTTGAGGCTTCTTTATAAGCACCTGTGTTAGAAGCTCCGATACGAATTTATGAGGATTGCAAAACATGTGCACCATGATTGTTGCTTTTTTTTTTTTAAGAAGCTGTGTGTTTTCAGCTTTTTTCATTTTTCTCAAAAAAGTAAATTTACGGCAGTTCAATTCAGAGGCCTCAATATCTCTGCAGCTAGGGCTGGCACAACATTTTTTTTTTGCTGTGGAAGCTTGTATGTGTGTAGAAGCAGAATTTAGAGCCCAAGCTTTTTAATTAATTACTCATCAAAATTGTAACACAATTCCAACTGCTTTTGAAAATGGATAGTTCATTTTGCTGTAAAATAACAAAGAAAAGCCTAAAAACAAAAACACTTGCATACTTGCAATCTATAGTCATTAGTCTATGTTGGCATATATTAAATATAATTACACACTTTTTTTCTATGGCGGCCTTAAACAATAAGGGGAGAACTTATTATCTCAGGAACAGGATGAGTTACAGGAAAACTAATATAGATATTTGAATTCAGCAGAAACAAACTGCGTAATCCTGTGCAGTTTGATCAAGATCGCTGAAGAAATAAACAAAAAAAATGTCCAAGACCAGTCTGCCCTTTGAACATGGAAAGGAAAGCATTAGCTTAAACACATTGGGATTTAGCCGTAATACAAAGATAATGATGTCAATTGCACAGCTGTTGCTACACAGGGTGCTGTGCGTTGTGTTGTTGTTGCAGGACGTTGGCACCGCCTCTAGCAACGCATTATGTTGCTCTGTAAAGTGCAAATCTGGTTTTCGCTTGTGCTTAAGGCAGCCGAAGTTCATGCAGGAGCACTTTCATTAGTGTGCATTTATTTCAGATTAAGATTGCACAGTACAGCTTGTTATAGCTTGGTTCCCAAGTACTAATAACGCTCGTTGTTGGGCTAGTTGGTGCATTGCTTCAGAAAAAATTCCAGACAATAAAATAACGAACACAAACAACGAAGAAGGAGACAGGAAAACGGCAATCTGTCTAGGGGCTTTCCTGTTTCCTTCTTCGTTTCCTGTGTTTGTTATTTTATTGGCTGGATTTTTTCTGGCTCCTAAATTATATAGGTTTTGACTCAATCTGCATATAGTTTGTAATCACGTGCAGTTACTTTAATAGTATGTTTGCAGCTTTCTGCGCACCTGTAGCCACACGTAAACCTCTTTGCTTAACATACCCCCCTCCCCCCATTGCTATCCCCTCACCTTTTGTTTTCCCGTCTTGTTGCAGGATTTGGCACTGAGAATATCTCCACCTCGGGATGCCTGCCTGCCCATTGTTTTGCAGTGTCGTTCACTTAAAAGCAGACTTACATGCCTGTTCACACCCAGGGGGTATTGGCTGGCAGCTGGAGAGATCATCATTGGTTTTTTCTTTTTTTTGTTAGTTTTTGTTCTTTATTTTTTCATTGCACACCTCATAAGTATTTACAGAGTGGAGCTACAGCCAATCAGCAGATTATTCACACATTGAGAGCGAATTGAAGCCGTCAAAATGTCATCCGCCCACTTGTTGCAGCATGGCACCTTTCCAGTGCAAATATGCTTTTTTTTTTACCAGACTGTTTTAGTTGTTTCCAAGGTGCTGCAGTTTATCTTTGATGCTGTGTACAAAAAGAAAAAGGAATAAAAACTCTTTAAATATGTTTGGGTCACTGCCAAGTCTCTCTTCTGTGTACTCTCTTGTTGGACTGTTGTACATGTCTACGCTGACATGTGCGAAGGAATCCCGCTAATGCATTTTTCTTAAATATCATTCAGGCGAAGAGGGGACTAGCGCTCTGAGAAATTTGTGATGCAAACATGTAGTTGAAATTTGGCACTGATGCTCAGTTAATGCTGAACTGTGCCGAATGGTATGCTCTGGCATTCGGAAATAGAGCTGACTCTTCAAGCGCAACTTGTATAAAAAGGGACATTGCATGAGATACTTGGGAGGTCTGTTTGTCGAGATTTAGTTTCGGAGTAGATTTCTCGGGCTATATATCACTGGTAATAAAGTTTTTGCTTTATGGTGAACACAAAAATTCGGTGGTTTGTACTAAGCATGCAATGCTGATCAAGCGACCAAGTTAACTGAAATTCATATACAGGGCGTTTCAAGAAATGTGTCCATTATCGTTCTAAAATCACAGAAAGGAGGCACCTACGGGCTACCTGCAGTGTTCTCTACTTTGCAAGGGGAGACGCGGGTCGAAAAGTCTCGGTTTTCCGGAAAATTTTCGCTTTTTTTTTTTCGGCTGTATTGGCATCCTTGGACTATAATCTATTACTTCTGAAAATATCAAGCTGAAATTCGCACGAGAAATTATCAAAAAAATGCTTCCAAGTGGGCAGCGGTGACGCGAGAAATGCGCGAAAGTCGCGAAAAACGGCGAAGTTCGCGTCGTCCTGTGGCGAAAACGACGCGTTGGCCGCCATTTGCAATCGTGCACGCATGCTGCGAAGGCCGTATCCTTCATACTCCACTAATAGCCAGTCTCGTGCCTTCACGTAGAATAAACAAAAAACGAGAAAAACAACGCGTACGTCACGCGTTTTGAATATCGCGGCACACAGTGCGAGGCCGCCATTGGACGGCGGTGCTCTCCACGCTCCTCCCCCTCCTATCTCCGGCAAAAGAGCGAAGCCTCGGACGTCGCGATCGAGTTTTTTCTGCGTTTCTCTGCATTTTTGCGTCATGGCAAGCCCGAAAAAGTGCAGTTCAGATAATCGAAAGTTCAGAACTCGCCACAAGTATCGAGGGAAACGGCGTCGGGACGCTTCGCAAAGCGACCAGCGAACGACGATGTCGCCCCCGACCAACGCCCCGACTTCGGATAGGCCTAACACGGTCACCGAACCCTGCGACAGTGGTTGTGAAATAGCCGCTGCCGTGGAATTCGTCAGTGCATCCCAAAGGAAGATTGTATTCTTCGAGAGTGAACGTAGACCGGTAGATGCTGCTACTGCGAACATGCTGCTTTGCGAAATCGATGCGCTGACGGCACTTGTGGCGGGTGCGCAATGCCCAACCTGCCGCGAACGGAAGCTCGGCGTGCGAGAGGCAGCTGGAAAGCGCAAAGGACTTTCGGCATTCCTCGAACTGTGCTGTCAAAATTCTGATTGCCCTGAATCTGCACTTTCGTTCACGCACACGTCGAGACGTACTGCTTCGGCCGGGGACCAAGGAACGAGCGCTCGTTTTGACAGCGGCAGCTCGCGTGACAGCTTTGCTGTAAACGTGAAGGCAGTTCTGGCAGCACGCGCTATAGGCGCAGGCCACGACCAACTTTCACGATTTTGTGCGATTCTCGGTCTTCCGAGCCCGATGCATCACAAGACATTCAACGGCATTTGCAAGAAGCTCCATGGTGCGGCGATGACGGCAGTGAGCAAAAACTTGCACCAGGCACGAAACATCACGAAGGACGCAGTCGGCGGCAGAGATGTGCCAGTCATGTTTGATGGCACCTGGCAGAAAAGAGGTCATAAAAGCCACAATGGAGTGGGCACAGTCGTGTCCCTGGACACGGGGCTCTGCCTCGATTTTGAAGTTCTTTCGAACTACTGCCATGCTTGCAGTATACACAGGGACCTTGGGGAGGATGAAGAGATATGGCGAGCTTTTCATCTTCCAGTTTGCCAAAAAAACAATGACTGCTCATCCCATGCAATGGAGCCTGCGGCAGCTGTCAATATATGGCAGAGGACCTTGTCTTATGAAACTCCACTGCGATTCACCAGCTTCCTAAGTGATGGTGACAGCAAGGCCTACACTGCAGTCTGCGAGGCAAATGTATACTGTGACACCCCCATTGACAAAGAAGAGTGCACGAACCACGTTGCAAAGCGCTTGGGAACTGCCCTACGGAAATTGGCAACGCCACTGCCACGAGGCGAAAAACTGAAAGATGCGACAATAATAAAACTACAAACATATTACAAGATCGCCATCACGAGCAACAAGGACAGTGTCCGAAATATGTACCCTGCCATATGGGCATCGTATTTTCATTGCTGCTCCAGTGATGGTGCCAGTAGCCACAACTTTTGCCCCGCGGGACCAAATTCGTGGTGCAAGCACAAGCGTGCGGAAGCACTGGGGGAGCCTGCACCACGCCACACCCCACTGTTGACGAAGGCTCAAGGATTGGCAATTATGCCTATCTACAAGCGCCTTACAGAGGAGAAATTCCTTATTCGGTGCCTTCATGGCAAGACACAGAATGCAGCCGAATCGCTGAACAGCAAGATATGCTGCTATGTCCAAAAACAAAATTCGCCTCCAGAACAACTGTGGAGACAGCCACCGCTCTTGCTGTACTCTGGTACAACAAAGGCCACAGGGGCTTTGAAGAAGTGCTCGAAGGCATTGGAATTCTCCCCTCACAAGATCTGCCACACATGGTGACCACTGTGACGTCATGCGCATCAGGAAGATGAACCTGAAGCAACTGCAGAAGCGAGGGCACACCGTCGCACACAGCGAAGAGAGCTCGTGTTGAGGACCCTGACCGCAAGAGCCGTGAAGGACCAAGCTATAGTGCAGGGGACTTCTAGACACTTGCAGTGCATTCAAGGCAAGGTACTTTTCATTGTGCCCCAATTTGATGCAAAAAGAATGATTTCCTAATAAATGCCAACTTTGCGAACTTTCAACTTGTTTTCTCATTTTCATTTTTCAGGCAGTTTCACGTTTTCCGGGCAGCCTTTTAGAAACTTATATTCATTGTATAGTAACGAAACTTTGCACACATATTCTTCAACACATGCAGAATGCAAATATCTACTCTAAATTGCAATGCCTACCAGCATTAGTTGTGAAAATATTAGCTTATTGTTTCAAGGGAGACTGAAAATAATAAGTCCATTCAATACAATTTTTTTTCTTGGTTCCAATATTTCTGTGACATATCTATATAGATATTTGCACTTTTCAATCTACAAGAGTCAATAAGATCAGACACAGTGCTTTTACTGAAAGTTTAGTACATAAAAGAGTGCCCGCAAAAAATGTGACTTTTTGCTATTGTTTATGGCATAACTCAATAATTATAGCAGCTACACAAAAAATGATTGCATATTTGAAATCTGCATGAAAAACTATACTATTAACAAACTTTCAAGTCTCTATTACTAGAAATAAAAAAAAAACTTTTCGAGGAGCGTCTCCCCATGTGTATGAAATTATGGCAGTAATCACAGAAACTAATAAAATTAATTTTTAACCAGTGGAAATAGAGTCCAATGGGCGAATTAAAGTACTTCTTACGAATAGTCCACAGCCACTTTGAAAATTTGGAAAAGCGGCCACTGGTATTCTCTGCAAAATGGTTAGTTCTGGGCTGGGGAGTCCGACGCCCGAAACAGTGCATCTACCATTCACTTCAATGCCTTCAATGAAGGTTGTTTCCCTCGCTGTTATCAAGTCTAGACACTTCGCTTCGTGGCTTGCTCCTTCTCCGCCGTTTTGGTTGCTGGTTTCCGACTGTTCTCTCCGTAGGCCGCTCCTGTGTTAACCTTGGCTAGTGCTTCCTCAACGGACTTCAGCCTTTCTCCCATTGCCCTCGTTTTCTCTTGCTCTGCCGCCAACGCAGTCGCCAGCTTGGTGATTCTCATCAGCAGTTCACTATGGGCTACCGTCATTTTCTTCATTTTTTCCTCGACCTCACATTGCCTACACTTCGCGTCAGCCTCTTCTCCATCCGCTTCTACACTTGGGTCCTTTTTCAACCCCCCCCCCCCCCCCCCCATCCTGAACACTTTACAGTCCTTTTAAACATGTCTTTCTGACATCGATTGTCCCTATGACTTGTCTCACTAGATCACTACAAAACTCGAGCCTGCCCTACGAAGAAGAAAAAGTCTAAGCTCTATCACAAAAATTGCGTGTTCAATGTACGTGCACCTCCCCCACGTATGGCAAAAGAAAACAACAAAAAAAATCACACACACGCACGAACTAATAATTACCTGGTGGCTGACCCCCGAAAAAGCCGTACAATAAAATAAGTGCTACAAAGATTTTAACTGCTGCATTCATATTATAAATACAAGCTCAAAACATGCAAAACCACTTACCTGCGCAGTCAATCGGGAGCACCGTGGAGGCCTCCACCGTGATCGGGAGCGCTCAAAAAACACGTCCATCCACCGTGACAGTCCGAACCGAACTCCCGTACAAACGGCTGCGCGCGCATCCCCACACGGCTGCTCCTCAGAAACTTCAGTGCTCTCCGTAGGCGCCGCCTGCCGCTCATCACACTTTTCTATTCTGATGATATATGGTGTTTTTTGGCGCAAGGGCCATTTGATGGCCAAAGAGTGCCAGTTCATGGGACAAGGAGTGTGGACAATGATTGTGATTAGCGGCTGTATAAGGGCCATAAAATTCCTCGCGGTAAGGCGGGTAAAAAATACAAGTAATAAAATCATGACTATGCCGTGAAAGGTGTGTGTGGTGCGAATAGATGACAAAAGTTGGTGATAATAAAAACGATGGTGGACATGTATGGCATTAGCACAAGTGCCTCACTCGTTCATACCCTTGCGTCCAAGGGCCGTGCGACAAGTGCTTTGTTGTGTAGCCACCGCAGCGAAAAACCTCTCTGGAGAGGTCGTGCTACGGAATGTCCGGGTATATGATATGAAAACCAACGTTACTAGATTACCTCAGTTTG